GTATACAGTTATATTTCTGTCTCTTATACACATCTTATTATTGTTTTTGTTTGCTTTTTATATTTATGTTTTTGATGCTGAATAAATAAGATTTCAGTTCAGTATGACATCACAGTAGAACAGTCGCCATCATAATTCATCTTACCATAGTCACTATCATACTACTGCTGAACAATGAACCATTGTGACCAATACATGGGTTCAGTTCCCATGTTATTATCTATTGAATTTGAATTTTGAATATTTTAGATATTATTTAAATATATTCTTTCATTTTTTGAATATCTAGATGAATCAGGTTCTGATAATGAATCCGATGATGATGTGATAGTTGTCTATGAAAGAAAACCGACTCCAGCACAGATAGCAATGGCTCTTAAATTGAGACTCCCGCCAACATTTTATCTTTATGAATACAAAGAGCCGTGTCCAGGTTGTATTGGATGTTACGACATTGACATTGCCGAGTTGTTTAATAAGGAGAATAGGTTCAGCACGGAAGATCAGAGGGAGACCAGCACAAAGGCAAAGGAAGAAAGTGTCCAACCAAGCCAAGAAAGTAAGTTGCATATTTGGAAATGTTGGTTGTTTGTTGGTGGTGGTATAACAATACCATAAAGTTACTGTACCATAAAGTTACTGATATATGCTGGTTGAGATTCGGTTGGCTGGGCTGTGTCAGGCCATTAAACTCTAGCTTCACCTTTAAACACTCAGAAGAATATATTAAGTTTAATTCACCTAAATGCCAAAAGGTTGGTGGTTTGTAATCAGCGAATGTATGGGATATTGCTGGCTGTTAATATGAGGTTAGGCCAAAATAGAAAAAAGACTAGTTTCTCATCCCTCGCACAACAATAAAAAAAAAAAAAAAGGAGAGCTCATTCTCCTTTTTTCAAAATATGATGGCAAACAACTACTTTTTTTTGTACTTGGCCTTAAGTGGCTGCCAAAAAAATATGGGAAGTTGAGCTACATCTGTTGGGTGTGATGTAATGCCGTAACACTTAATGATTGAAACCACTATTGTGACACGTATTCTGACAGTAACCCACTTTACAATTTAATCTGCACAAGCACAAACTTCATGCTCAATGAATATGAAATATGTGGAGTAGTCAACCAATGTTTACTTATAGAGTTACGTGAAATTGCCAAGATAGGAAGTGCGAGTGGGTTACTTTCTTCCAATCCTTTATATATTTAATAATTAATAGTGATGTAGTAAACCCTAAAAACCAAACCAGGGGGCTCTATCAAAAGTTTTATGGTTGGTAAATTAAGTAGTGGTCAGTTTTCATAGAAAATATACAGTGGCGTGTCTAGAAGTCTTGAAATTTGGGTGCTAATGGGAGGGGGCGCGAAGGTTGAGTGTTGCACTCGGTAATTAAGTGAGGCGCGCTATGTCGCAAAATAAGGTTATATGAGGTGATTTTTTTTCTCTTTGGAAATAATCAATGAGGGAGACCAAGGGGGACGTGGGCGTGGGGCATATACCTCTAGATACATTGAAGTTAGCAGGATTAAATTAGACATTAAAGTGTTTCTTTTTTTCCTCATGTTGTAGCGCCCTCTACAGCACCATTGATGTTTGGTGGTTCAACTGCTGGTAGTTTGTCCTTTGCTTCCATATCCGCTGAAACTAACAGTACTCCAGACTTTATGAAGCAAAGTAAGTAATCGCCATTATCTGGGGCAGAATGCACCCCCACCCCCAAATTGTATTAAGAAAAATAATTGTATTGTATTGTTGATGAACATAGTACCGGTAAGATTTTCAAGACATGAGAGTACAATTTCCGGGCATGTAGAGGTCGATAATATAAAAATGTCCGCACATCAGCGCCAACATTGTAGGGCAGTAGGTGGTGTACACTCTGATGCAATCCCTACTGTCAAATTCTGCATCTGCCTCAGCATATAGACATCCTGTATTATGTTATTTTATCCATTTGTTATTTTATTGTTATTTTATTTATTATATTTAATGCTTGTGGTGCATCACGTAATAACAGTTATTGTTTAGTTTTCCACCAATCAGCAGCAAGTCACTCTATCCGAACATATAAGTATTTGCCTGTTTGGATTCTCTGCAGATATTATCCTGAAGATGATTGAAGCAACTCAATCGAAATGTCGAAACATTCTCAACAAACAACAGTTATTTCAGAACTATCTATGTGGTGTACCGAAAGCATTAAATATATTATTACTTTACTATGCACACCCTTGTGCACTTAAGACTGACTTGTTTGCCTCTTCACTCTTCTGCATATTTTGTGTTTAATTGTTGTAATCGTCTTTTTTATTGTATTATTTATTCGTCTTTTTTGTGTTTGTGAGACTATACTATTGTGATGCATGGGGTTCCTGAATAATGATCAATTTTATGCCTACCATTATTTTCCTGAATTCTTGCGCTTAATAACCTCAAGGCGCAATGTAATTATCCAGTACCAGTTCCAGTTATTATTTTTTATCAAACTAATTTGGCTATATTTTTCCTTTATTTGTATATATCATAAAATATGTTATAACTTTTTTCTTTAATATAACTTTATTGTGAAAGAAAATTATCACTGAATGTATACAGTTATATTTCATTTGACTGTGATGTTTTACTGTATATAAAAATCACTTTTTTCAGTAAACATATAAAACATTACAACAGTTCGTAAAAAGTAAATACAGATGGTCCTGTCAAGAACATTCATCCAGTGACTATTTACTGTTATTACTTTAGGGTTTCAAATTTATTGATGTTGTTATACCGCCTACATACATGTAAAGGATTGTTTTGAAAACACTCGAGATACATGTCTTAGTGTTAGCTTGTTCTAAAAGAATGATTCCATTTTCATTCTACGATCTGTTCTTCAGAAACTTTTCAGAACTTTTCCTGGTCTGGTGCTGGTACACCTGGTGGCGCTGAAACTGAGTATGACCCGCATTATGAACCCATCGTAACCTTACCGGAGGTCACTGATATAAAGACTGGTGAAGAAGACGAGACCTGTCTGTGGAAGGAACGTGGAAAACTTTATCGCTTCAACAAGGAGTTGTACCAGTGGAAAGAATGCGGAGTTGGCGACATTAAGTTCATGCAAAACAAGAACACCGGTAGGATACGTATCCTAATGCGGAGGGAAAAGGTGTTGAAAGTATGCGCTAATCACATGATCACACCGGACATTGAGTTAAAGACGATGCAGTCGTCCGACCGTGCATGGGTCTGGAATGCGCTGGATTTTTCCGAAGGAAAAGCTAGTATTGAACAGTTGGCCATTAGATTCAAGAAACCTGAAGTGGCATCCGAGTTTAAAAATAAATTTGAGGAATGTAAACAACTTGCTATAGAAACAGAGAAAACGGGATCAGTAAAGAAGGTGGAGGAGAAAAAAGAGGAAACAGAAGTGAAGGTACAAGGGTGATTTTATTATTGTTAAGCCTGCTCCCACTTGGGTATACACATACATTAAAGTTACAAACAAACTCAATTAACATTGTTGTTCATCGCACTATAATAGCATGAGCAAACGTTTTGAATATACTGGTAACACTATGGTTTTTGCACATCCGTAGTATGTGCAAGCCATTCATTCATTAATTTAAATAAACCTATTTTCTTCATTTCATTTCATTTATTTTGTCCAATATAAAACACATTACAAAAAAGCACAAAATATTTGGGTTACTCAAAAGCGTCTGTCAAGGAGCTCTCCAAAACACGACTGACGAAACCAATGTAAATTATTTTAATAAGTAGTTTTATATTTTAAGACGATTTTGTACTGTTTTATGGATGTTTTTGTACAGATCCTGATGAAGAGCATAAGCTCGAAAGCTTGATGATTAAAGACACATTTTGTTCCATCCAAGCCTCCGACTATTTCTTTCATCTATACATACCATGAGGCATGTTTCAACAGGCTCTGAAGGCAATCAATTTCTTTCGCAATATATATATACTGTCTCTTATACACATCTTTTTGTGTTTAATTGTTGTAATCGTCTTTTTTATTGTATTATTTATTCGTCTTTTTTGTGTTTGTGAGACTATACTATTGTGATGCATGGGGTTCCTGAATAATGATCAATTTTATGCCTACCATTATTTTCCTGAATTCTTGCGCTTAATAACCTCAAGGCGCAATGTAATTATCCAGTACCAGTTCCAGTTATTATTTTTTATCAAACTAATTTGGCTATATTTTTCCTTTATTTGTATATATCATAAAATATGTTATAACTTTTTTCTTTAATATAACTTTATTGTGAAAGAAAATTATCACTGAATGTATACAGTTATATTTCATTTGACTGTGATGTTTTACTGTATATAAAAATCACTTTTTTCAGTAAACATATAAAACATTACAACAGTTCGTAAAAAGTAAATACAGATGGTCCTGTCAAGAACATTCATCCAGTGACTATTTACTGTTATTACTTTAGGGTTTCAAATTTATTGATGTTGTTATACCGCCTACATACATGTAAAGGATTGTTTTGAAAACACTCGAGATACATGTCTTAGTGTTAGCTTGTTCTAAAAGAATGATTCCATTTTCATTCTACGATCTGTTCTTCAGAAACTTTTCAGAACTTTTCCTGGTCTGGTGCTGGTACACCTGGTGGCGCTGAAACTGAGTATGACCCGCATTATGAACCCATCGTAACCTTACCGGAGGTCACTGATATAAAGACTGGTGAAGAAGATGAGACCTGTCTGTGGAAGGAACGGGGAAAGCTTTATCGCTTCAACAAAGACTTGAACCAGTGGAAAGAACGTGGAGTTGGCGACATTAAGTTCATGCAAAACAAGAACACCGGTAGGATACGTATCCTAATGCGGAGGGAAAAGGTGTTGAAAGTATGCGCTAATCACATGATCACACCGGACATTGAGTTAAAGACGATGCAGTCGTCCGACCGTGCATGGGTCTGGAATGCGCTGGATTTTTCCGAAGGAAAAGCTAGTATTGAACAGTTGGCCATTAGATTCAAGAAACCTGAAGTGGCATCCGAGTTTAAAAATAAATTTGAGGAATGTAAACAACTTGCTATAGAAACAGAGAAAACGGGATCAGTAAAGAAGGTGGAGGAGAAAAAAGAGGAAACAGAAGTGAAGGTACAAGGGTGATTTTATTATTGTTAAGCCTACAGATTTTCATTTACAATTTAATTTCTTTTCAGAGTTTGGCTGAAAAGTTCAAACCAAAACCAGGAAGCTGGAATTGTGACACTTGCTTAGTTTCTAACCCTCCGGGAACTGTTAAATGCCTTGCATGTGCCACACCAAAACCAGGGGTAGTACCAACAACACAGGCAACCACTTCTACATCATCCCAGCCACAACCAGCAAGTGCAACTGGTGGTTTCAGGTTTGGAGGAACAATTTCTTCACCACAAACCTCTGGGTTCACTTTTGGGGGAAGTGACAGTGACAAGCCTAGTCAAAATTCTGGCTTCAACTTTGGACAGGCATTTGATGGTAGCCAACCACAAACAACTAGGGGATTCTCATTTGGTAGCAGCAAACCAACTGGTGGTTTTTCATTTGGTGGTGAGTCAACTAAAGTGGCATCTTCAACTCAACAAAAACCCTCATCTCCTCCTGCTGTTGCTACTACCACTAATGATGCTGATAAAAAGGACAAAACAACGGTAAATATTGTTTTGCCTGTTCTCTTTATGTGATGTCGAAACCTCAAAACATGCTTTTCAAATTTTCAAACATTAAAAACTTGTAATGAAAATTAAGTGAATTTATTTAATTTTGATTTTTCAGAGTTTATCGGAAATGTTCAAGCCTAAAGCAGGAGTCTGGTCTTGTCCTACTTGTTTGTGTCAGAATACAGCAGAACATAAAAAATGCCCAGCATGTCAGACCCACCAGCCTGGTGCCCAACCAGAAGCCTCCAGTTCATTTGCATCTTCTACTACTAGTAGTTCTTTCAAATTTGGAAATACTTCATTAGAACAGTTACTTGGAAAGAGTACCACAGGACCTAAACAAGCTGGTGCCACATCACCTGCACCTGCAAAAACTTTCTCATTTGGTCAGTCAGGAAAACCTTTGCCACAGTTCAGTTATGGAGGAGGGGATGTTAGTGGTGCTGTCTCCAGCCCTCCTGCTTCTACTGGATTTACATTTGGAGCTCCAAAACCAACATCTGGTGGATTCATGTTTGGAAGTAATCTGAATCAAAACGCTGCTAAAGAACAAGCTGTTGACCTTTTCTCAACAAAGAAGACAACTGATCAGGGTTGCAAATTTTCAGAAATGGCTAAATCATTCACCTTCCAATTCAAAATGGATCCAGAAGAAGCAGCTAATGCACCTCCAAAATCTCCAACAAAATCACCAGGCATTCAACGATCGCCCGGTCTCATGAAATCACCAAGTCTGGATAAATCAGGAGATGATTCTTATTACAAAGATGATGATTATGATGGCTTGCATTTTGAGTCAGTTGTTCACCTTGATCCGGTTGAGCTGACAACTGGAGAGGAGAATGAGGATGTGATGTTCTGCCATCGAGCCAAGTTGTACCGGTATAACAAGGAATTCAATGAGTGGAAGGAGCGTGGCATAGGTGATATCAAAATAATGAAGCACAGAGAAACCGGACTCTACCGTATATTAATGAGACGAGAACAGGTTCTTAAGTTATGTGCAAACCACTTCATTCAACCAGAGATGGATCTGCATCCTAATTCAGGTTCTGATCGTTCTTGGGTGTGGACAGCAATGGATGCTTCTGATGATGGAAACGTCAAACCAGAATTACTGGCAGTTCGCTTTAAGACTTCAGATGTTGCTGCTGCTTTTAAAGAAGCTTTTGAGAATGCTAAGGAAGCTGTCATAAAGATTAAAGGTAGCAATCAAGCTAAGCCAACAGAGAAAGAAATAGATGATAAATCAAAAGAAGTGAAGAACGAAGACACAGAAGAAATCAAACCTGATCAAGTTGAAAAGAAAAGTGTAGATGATAAGGGAAATACTCTAGTAGAGGAGAAAGATAATGAGGAGGAAGATGACGACGATGAGGAGGATGATGACAATGATGAGGAGGAGGATGATGAAGATGAGGAGGAGGATGAGGACGATGATGAGGAGGATGATGAAGAGGAGGAGGCAGAAGACAAAAAAGTGGAGGATGAAGACAAGGACAAGACACAAGTTGACAGTGCAGGTATGTACAAGCCATTACAGTTTTAAACTTCAAACTTTAATTTAATGATCAGGAAAAAGTTTATTAATTATGCCAATTTCAATATCTCATTCCAACGAATGATGGCAAGAAATGATCACAGCTAACAATTGTGGCTCTCAAACCCATGAAACAGAAAATTATTTCATAATATTAATCATACTCACTGAAAAACTGTACATTAAAAAGCTTTGAAACTGAAGGATAGACTACATACTACCCACTAACCTAAAATCTTTTAACAATTATGAACCACTTTGAACTAAGATATTTTTTTTATTTCACTCGCACAGTAATCCAAACCATGCAAAATCTTGGGAGAATAGCAGTAGGCCTAAGAGTACTCTTACCGCATGTCATTATTTTGATTTCCGTTGCCTACTGGTAATATGAACGCATGCTTACCTAGGGACATAAGAAGAATAAGCAGGCCTAGAGGCAAGGTTTGCCCTCCCCTCCTCGGTTACGGGCCTGTACCTCAGTGTTAGCAAGTTTTATATTATGTAATTTCTATATTTTCAGTTACTTCTGCACCAACATTCAGCTTTGGACAAAGTTTTGCTGCAGCAGTGAGAAAAACAATGAGTGAAGGTTATTACCCAGAGGAAGAATGGGACGATCTGCAGTTTGAGCCAGTTGTCACACTAAAAGAAATTGAATTTAAAACTGGTGAGGAGGAAGAAGAACAGTTATTCTGCCAGCGTGCGAAACTGTACCGCTGGAATCGTGAGACGGCACAGTGGAAAGAGCGTGGGGTTGGCAAGATCAAGATCCTGAAGCACAAGGTTATGAATCGCTGCCGTGTAGTAATGCGGAGAGATCAAGTGCTGAAGATCTGTGCCAACCACATAATCACGCCGGAGATGGAATTAAAACCAAATGCAGGATCAGACAGATGGCTCGTCTGGAATGCCATGGATGCATCAGACATGGAACCTAGGCTGGAACAGCTTGCCGTCAAATTCAAAACTCCTGCTATTACTGCAGATTTCAAGGCAGTCTTTGAAAAATGTCAAGGCACTTAAAGTAAGAGAAGTAGTTTTTACATTTTTTTTTTTTGCATTTATATCATATTTCAATATTTAATCGTATTGCTTTGTTATAACAATAATTGTCTGTATATTAAACTTAATCCCATGTTTTACCATCCCCTAATTCAAGAGGTCTGAAATTGAAGTTCTACGTTTTGCGTAGGTACATCCTGCAAAGGAATTAATGGTCCATAAGTGACACACTGTGACATACTGTGAAACTAATTTTCAGGTGCACAAAGAAAACTGAAATGGCCTGGAAGATAAAAGTTTGCCCGATGGTGATTGATTTGTGGCCTGTGAAAATATATTAGAATTCCTGTGTGTGCGGCCTGCTAACCATCTTTGCCTAGAAAACCCTTGTTATGTACAACCTGACACCGATCATTTCTAAAAGTAATACTGTAAAACCTTGAATTGAAGCCCAGTGGGCTTAATCTTGAGATGAAGCCCACCTCGAATTTAAGCCCCCTCTTTAGTTTGCAAAATTAGCCTCGAAAGGCCATGGGCTTCTTTTCAAGATAGCATAGGTTTCTTTTCGACATAGTATGGTACAAACACTGTGCATGAATTTCAGAAAACAAAATAAACTAAAAACAAGCTTGGTTTATACAGTAGTTTAGTTGATTTAATGCCATTTAAATACACTTCATGATCCAGATTGATGTTACAGTGGCCTTATTTATTGTTTTATAGTCCAAATTCACAAAATTTACAGCATTCATTTTGAAAAGAAGCCCCCCCCCCTTTCTTTACTTTGCAAAGTCGCCTCGAAATGAAGCCCATCTTGAAAAGAAGCCCATTCAAAGTTCGCAAAAAATTGCGTCCTAATAATATTTAGTGAAGTCATTATGTTCTACGTCCTTCTGTCATCGTAAAATCGAAAGCTCCCTAATTTCAAATTTGTGGATGGAGACTGCATTTTGTTGAATGAATAAACTAAAGCCAAGCCTTACAGTTGTTCCATTATACACTGATTTTGTTTTTGTCTGTTTTTTCTCTTTCAGATTCTACAGAGTGTTAATCTGGTAGATAAATTGCAATATAGATTGTTTGTCCTCGCAGCAATTTGACCAGTCGACATGTATTTCGTGGAATCATCTAAACACAACCTTTTTTGTGTCATCTTTGCTAAACTTTCAAAGACTTAAAAATTCTAATATTTGATCACTTATTTAAGGAAGCTAATACCGGTAATTCTTTCCAAAAATTTTGAATTTTGAAAATTAGAATATTGCAATATTTTCTTCACCAATTAGCAGACATATTATATCTACTTGAAGTAGTCCCATTTCTTAATTTTTCATATAAATCTTGGTAATCTAATGTCATGTCATACATTGGGAAGGGTATTGGACATTGTGAGAAGGTTAACATTATTGCAATACTATTTAATGTGCTGTTTCAATGAAAAATTGATGAAATATCAATTAGTAATTGATGGTAATCATGACAGAAAAGCAGTGACATGAATTGTTAACTTTTTTTGTCAAAATTAATGTTGCTTAGCATTAGCAACAGTTTCTATGGTTATCAGTCATATTGTTGTTTAGGATACAAAATTGCTGTATATCATGTTTGAAATGATTGTAGAAGTTTAAAACATAATTAAAATAGTTTTGCTATTATGTCATCATTTTATATGATTTGTGTTGCTATGGCATCATTTGATATGATCATTGTTGCTATGGCATCATTTTCATGTCATTGCTATGACATTAATTGATGTACTAATTGATGTTGCCATAGCACCATTTGATATGATTGATGTTGCTATGGCATCATTTGATATGATAGTGTTACTATGAAACCATTTGATGTGATTGGTGTTGCTGTGGCACCATTTCATATGGTTGGTGCTGCTATGGCATAATTTGATATGATTATTGTTGCTCTGGCACCTAGTACGTACAGTGTTACTGATCAATAACATATTCTGATTGGTCGTTGTTAAGATTGATTAGCACTTCAGAAAGTAAAGTATGTTGCTACTATGTACAATCTATAGAGTATGTGTTTGACCCCCTAAAATAACACGCAAAATGACTCTGTGCTACTGAACCTCGAACAAGGGCCACAAAGGTCAATCAGTCAGCAAGCCGTCAAGGGATGGTATAAAAACAGGCTTACAGAGTACTCTTTTTGAACCTGGCCGAATTGAAAGAGATGTGGCACATGCAGTAGACCTACCTGTAGTTCTTTAACATCCAGTAATGCTGATACTGTTTGGACTACAATTTAAACCGTAACGGAAGAGGAATCTGACAAAAGAAACAATACTATACAATACACTATACAATAATTGCCTTGTCTTACCTGGTGTCACAATGTTGATATATGGTAGCACTAATATAAGTATACTAAAGTGAATTTATTCGCGCGATTTGAGGTTGGCCTAGGCCTTTCGTAGTGAATCAGCGAAAGCTGAATTGTTTTGACATGTGCTTCGTCAGAAGTTCACCAGTTATTTTATCTTTTATGAGAATTTTGCCAAAATTCAACGGTTCATGTACATGAACATATATACATTTCTATCGTTTTTTGCTACAGCGAATTCGGTAGTATAGTTCGAACTGTTTCTACTTTTTTCGAAGCGAAAAAATGCGCAACCAATCAGAGCTCATGGAGCGAACCGACGCTTTCGATGATTTGCGCGTATAAATTGCCTAGGATTAAAAAGTTACCTCAGTTGCAAAGTCAGGACCTATTGTTGTTGTATGTTGTCTATGATGGTAAACCGGGGCTTATTTAAGAATTTAAATTCAATTAAGAAACTGATGTGGCGCAAATTGATTGACTGATTGAATTTATTCGTAATCACAGTCATAAAATACATATAAACATGATAGGGCCTATACAAAAAACAGACAAGATAAAAATTTTCACAAAAACATTACACTAATTACAAGGAAAAGCCTAAAAAAGTACACATTATTTCCATTGGGGTGGGCCCTTGATAAGCAGAGATCAAGACATAAAATATATATACGTAGCCTATGGTACAACAAAGGGATAGATATTGGAGCTCCCTCCAATCTGAGACCACCTTTTGGAACAGCGGTGGCGCCAGATTAATGTGCCAACAAGCGCCGGACATGTCCGGCGGAGGAGTCCGAACCAAGGGGCCCACTAGAGCCTCAGTAAAAACGGTTGGAATAAACAATCCCTGGTAGAGTTTTGTTCTTTTGGACCACAATATTATTCTGAATTACAAACTTGCAAAACTCTCAAATATGCCCTGTGAAAATGGCAATTGCAAACTCTGTAATACAGGTGATGGTGGAAGATTAATCCACTTTCTTTTAATTTGTCCTATTAATAATATCAGAGAAGTCGAATTGCCAGATTTAAAACAACAACTTTATAGTAACAATCTTCTACATGTTTTCCAAGAATTCGAACAGTCTAATAATAGAAATAAATTACATTTTATCCTCGGAAATGAAAATAACCATTTTTGTGATAAGAATATCAATTTCTTAATCGATAAATTTTGCAAATCTTTAGCCAAAAGACGGTGGACTCAAAGGAGATGTGACTTCTTTAAAATTTTGTAGCTTAAGTTTTATCTGTGCTGTTGTGTAATTACAGTATTATATTTGATTTTTAAGCATGTGTAATCATTACTGTGCGTGCATACTCATACTGTATGTAGAGCATAAACGCTTTCTTTTAATTCTAATTTATATAATTTTAATTTTGTTTTTATAATATTCTTAAATGTTCAAATTATTTCATTTGGTTTCTATTTATGTACTGTATACTGAATGAAAATTCGTTCAAAGTGTAACCAGGGCGTTGGCTTGCTTTGCTGCATTCTCGGACAGAACGTCAGACTTTCGTCGGGTGGTGGGGCTGTCTGGGTGCTAGTGCTATCTATGGCTCTGGCTAGTGGTCTTCCCTCGAACAACATCCAACGACAGGGAGGACGGATAGCATTCGGCTGGCTGCGTTGCCTGGCGGGGGCCCGGTGGCGTCGGTTCGGGGCATTGCGGGGTGGGTTAGCCTCATGATTTGCTTTGCACGACTTTTCAAACCAGTCTCTTATTTTTGTTTTGTTTGTAGTTTATTTTTGAAGTGTTTAATTTGATTGGTGGGTTGGAAATAATGTTATTTGAGTTATCTGTAAATCTCATATATCTCATCTAGTTAAGAATTTAATTTTTTATTTTTGTTGCGTTGTTCTTTTCTGGATGCACCGTTAGAATTTGTTTAACGTGTGCCACTGTTATAAAAGTGTTATCCAATAAATACGACGGTATTGTATTTTATAGGCAAATTATTATTTCTTTTAGGCCACTTTTGATCCGATGACCTAGGCCATAGGCCTACATAATTTTAACTAAATCGGATGTTACAATAAATACCGTACTAAACAAGACAAGCCAATTAAAATCAATAGGCCTATATTTTTTTGGACAATTATTTATCTTAACAAAACGTAGACTGATGATAGTGATGGTACTGTAATAAAAATGTCCCAGTCACTCGGCAGACTTTGGCTTGGAAAAGGGCCTTGGTTAATTTTCTTTTGTAAAAAAAATATTTTAATTTACTGGGGGACCCTTGAGGCTCCGGAGCCCCTGGCTTTATGCCAGCGAGATCTCATAACCATTACGCCACTGTACTCCCCCCCCCCCATCCCCCCCCCCCCGGCCCATCCCCTCCCCGCTGGCGCCACCACTGTTTTGGGGCCCCAACATTTTGGGTGGTCTTCGGTCTCCAATGTGAGGGTTGGTTTGGGTTAAATGATTGACGAATGTTAATTAGAGGAGTCTCGGAATTTTGTTAATAATACTTTATGAACGTTAAAGTCGGAATCTGCGAGTGTGAAAAAACTAGACTTAACAATTATATTGCTTCGTTTAAGAAGCTATTCTCGGGATTCAATGATCCATGCTTCCTGCCAAACATTTCTATGTCCTGCTGACCCATTTCCAGCCTGATACGGAGCTCCACAAACTCCTATTTCCCGATAATACCGAGCAGACGTCACTGGGACCACAAAAAGTTCCCGGCAAACAAAGTTCCAACTGATACGAAGCAGAGACGTCACTGACAACATACGGTGGCTCCGAAACAGTGTTTACCTTTCTGTATAATCAGGCATTATGAGACGGATGAAAAACAATCTTTCGATTTTCTTATAGTTTTTTTTTTTACTTTTATGAAACCAACTCAGAGCCAATGCAACTTTATAGGTCGAGTAAGCCCTACTTTGATATGGAGCCTATTTCGGAGTTGTAACTATCTATTGGTGTTATTTTTAAAGTTATTTATTTATTATCAGTCTTTAATTATTATCAGTAGAGGTGTAGGCCTACTGTATCTCAATACCAATGTTACTATCACATATGTGATTGACTATTATTCGTTGTTACCTTGGGAAATTTTCTTATTTAAATTTTCTTATGTGTTACCACATTACTAGAACAAATTACCACGCAGTATTCGCACTTCAGCACCTGTTACAATATTTAAGAAAATGTTTTATTGTTTCCTTCTGATTAGGAATTGACTAAGTACTAGGTGCCAACACCATTCGAGCACCTGTGAACTGGCGGGTCTTGCGCCATAAATTGCTGGGGAACGGTGCGGTGGTGTCAGTGGTTTCACCTGCGTTGTTTTTTGTTTTGTTTTTTCTTACTTTCCGGTTTTCTTCTGTTAGATGTACGGTATTTCATCGTCACAGTATATTAGTAAAAATACATTTAAAAAAAAACAAAAAAGCGCTCTGATCTTCTCCGTGTGACTAAGAGGTCAGACGTGATGGTGTGCCGTGTACAGGCCCAAAAGAGGATGCGCTTCATGAAATAGCGCTATATAAATTATGTAGTATAGGCCTAGGCCTATGTATGTAATCCAATGTATAAAATAGAATGTGACTTGGCATCATATGTTAGTAGAGATGTGTATAAGAGACAGGGGCGTTGGCTTGTAGGTGTATTTCATCGTCACAGTATATTAGTACTGTCTCTTATACACATCTAGATGTGTATAAGAGACAGGTATAGACTTAATTATACTTTATGAACGTTAAAGTCGGAATTTGCGAGTGTGAAAAAACTAGACTTAATAATTATATTGCTTCGTTTAAGAAGCTATTCTCGGGATTCAATGATCCATACTTCCTGCCAAACATTTCCATATCCTGCTGACCCATTTCAAGCCTGATAAGGAGCTCCACAAACTCCGATAATACCGAGCAGACGTCACTGGACCACAAAAAGTTCCCGGCAAACAAAGTTCCAGCTGATACGAAGCAGAGACGTCACTGACAACA